TATCACACTCACTGGCCAACTAATCTCATCTTACTATCCTGGGTCAACCAGGTGATGTCCTTGCATCGCAGCCAGGCTGTCCCAGGGGTGTTGACTGGGGTTCCCCCAGTTTGACTAGAGGACCTTTGAAGGTCTCTTATGCAGCCTGGTCCCAGGCTGTGCCAACTCTAAGTTATCCTAAGTTCTTGGGGGATGAAAGACCCTAGCAGGGCCCCCATTCTGTGATGACACAGCTAGCAGATGAGAGTGCTGGCTAGAATCCAGGGCCTCTCAGGCCTCAGAGAACCTTGACATTTTTTACCTGGGGCTGGATCTAGGTTCTGACTCATATATATGCAAATCTCTTTTTCCTGCTTGCCCAGAATAAGCCTGAAGTGTCAGTGTTTGGTGCAATTAGATACCGGATGTAAAAGCAGCTTGATAATGGCAAATAGTATGACTGTTCCGACCAGTAGATCAGCAGAAGGTGGAAGTCGAACAACCTTGAAAGCTTTCATCTGACCACAAACCTCCATGCGTGATTCTACTACAATAAAACAGGACAGCTACGGCCACTGGCCTGGAGCTGCTTACCTGGCCCAGGTGAACCAGCAATCTGCAGCTCCTGCAGTCAGCTCTGCCACCACTGCTCTCCTCAAACCAGAGACCAGCCCAGAAATCTCTAGACTCCCTGCTAGGAGCTCCTCCTCCTGTGCTCAGCGTCCACCCATCCAGCAGCCTCTCTCAGTTTCTTCTTTTTTTTTTTTTTTTTTGAGACAGAATCTCACTCTCTCATTCTGTTGCCCGGGCTAGAGTGCCATGGTGTCAGCCTAGCTCACAGCAACCTCTAACTCCTGGGCTCAAGCGATCCTCCTGCCTCTGCCTCCTGAGTAGCTGGGACTACAGGCATGCATTACTATGCCTGGCTAATTTTTTCTATATATTTTTAGTTGGCCAATTAATTTCTTTCTATTTTTAGTAGAGATGGGGGTCTCATACTTGCTCAGGCTGGTCTCGAACTCCTGAGCTCAAATGATCTGCCCACCTCAGCCTCCCAGAGTGCTAGGATTACAGGCATCAGCCACCATGCCCAGCCTCTCTCGGCTTCTTGACCCTTTAAACTACTCTCTTCCTTCTGCCCCTTCTTGTCCACATTCAATATGCTCAGATCTCTCTCATTCTCAAAAACCAAAAGACCTCTCTTGACCCCATGTACCCTGCATTTAGACTCCTTTAACTCCTGCCCTTAGTGGCCCCTTAACCAGGGGCAGTTTCAGGGTTGGGACAGAAAGTCGGGGCTTTCTACTCCATCCTACACGGAGTGGGAAGGCTCCCTGCTTACGTGCGGGGGCTTTTGAACATGTACTGACCTGGTTTGACCCAACAGCCTGACCCACTTCTCCTACCCCTGTCTCTGCCCTTTCCTGGTCATTGTGGGAATGTTCTCAGAGCATGTGTGTCTCATAAGAACCTTCTGGCAAGTTCATGTTTTTGGTTTGCTCTGAGTTGAGATCAGAGGCAGCCTGGACTGGGAATTTGCTTTAGAACTCTTAGAAGGTGCTAAGCTCTGGTTATTTCTGAGTAACCCTGAAGGGCCCTCCACACTTGGGTGGGTTCCAACCCAGGTCACTCTCCTTCCTGCCCCCGCATTCAGGCTGGCAGGCTGGCAGGAGGGAAGAGGGAATTCTGGGTAAATTGCTCACAGTGGGAGTATTGCCCCCGCCCCACCTGACCCAGCCCTCCCTTCAGGGAAGGGCATTGTCAGCACACGGCCAGCTGCATTTCCCCATTTCCCTCGTGGGAATGCTAAAGAGACAGAGTTAATAAAAATCTATCTTATTAACAGCCTGACCTACCAGCATTGATCACATTAGAAATGACGCGGCACACACAGTCCCCATTATGTGCACGGGGCAGGGCTCAGTGGAGTTCAAAAAGCCATTTAAATCCGCCCAGGAGTGACTCCTCCAAGGGCCTGAAACATCCCCCAAACTAATAACCCCCGACAAAGCACCGCCAAGGAAAATTCCTTGCGGATTTGAGATTTTCACTCTGTTAATCTCCTAACTCCAAGAAGCAAACACTCCCTGCAGCAAATTAAATACTTTTATTAAATGGTCCCCTCCCTCATTCTCTTTGGCAGGGGTAACCCTCCGCTGGCCTGTGTGTCTGTGTGAGGGGTTGTCCCCCTACACCCCACCATTTTCTTCTGTTACTCGAAGAGGCCCAGAACCCACCATAGGACTTGCTGATTCGTAGAGTCTGGAAACTTCTGAGCCCTCTGGCTTCCCTGAGTAGGTCCTATGGCCTGTCAGCTGAGGGAACTGCTTCCCACTTCTTTGTGGGGTGACAGGCCCCAGACAACGCTGACGCAAGCACGTCTGCTCTTGCAGTTCGCCTGGAGGAGGACCCAACAAAACTGTGCAGGCTATGGTGGGCTTTTTGGTCAATGGTCAAGCCCTCCTGACTTCACTAGAGGCTCGAAACCAGGCAGGGTTAGCTGAAGAGAAGATAAAAGGAGGGTGGGGCAGAAGTAGGGAAAAGGGACTCAGGGGGGAGGCCCTCAGCCACCCCTCCCTGGGATCTGCCTGAAATTGGGTTCAGCCATTTTAGCTTCTAGTCACCATTTTCCTTTCGCTGTTCAAGCCAGTTATCCTCAGATGCTGTTCTCAGAAAGCCTGCCTTGCAGGGAAACCCAGCACCTTGCACATGGTAACTCACAGGCCTCTTCTAGAAACATGCTCATCTACAGTTTACCAGTTTCACTGCTGGGTGTGTGGTGCACAGGGCTCTATGGATCAACATTCAGAGAGAACAGAAACAGGGCGCGTTTTGTGTCTGGGAGAATCAGGTCTCAGGGCCCTGAGGCCTTCTCAGCAAGGGCTCCACGGAGTGTGTGACAGGCCCTCAAGGTGGGCCTAGTTCTGGGTGCAGACCCTGTCAGCAGGGAGTGGAGAAGGCACCTTCTCCCTCCTGGGCCCCTGAGAAGCCCTGCCCAGCTTTCCTCCCCGCTATTGCCCCACACTGGACAGGAGGGGCCTCACTCAGGGCAGACAGTGTCTTCTGGCCCTGGCCCCTCAGAGCTGTTAAGGCACAACAGCCAGGCTGGGCCCTGGTCATTTGAAATGCACCCCCGCCCCCTTGTCAGCCTTGGATAGATGTCCTGGGCTTTGCAGCTGCCCCCACTTATCTCCAACTCCCATAGAATTGCCTGCAGACCTGTGTCCTCCCCTGGAAGTTGAAGTGGGGAGAGGTGGCTGAGAAAATGGGGAAGGCATGACAAAGTACGGAAGCCCCTAAAGATGGGGAGTAAGAGAGGCCTGGGCTGGAATCCAGGCTCAGCTACCTGCTCGCTCTGACCCCTGGTGAGCTACTTGTTTCTCTCTACACAACAGGGGGAATAACAGTCCCTGCCCCCTCAGGATCACTGCGCAGCTTGAAGGAGTTGGGCCCGTCAATCACTTATCGCAGTAAGGATTCAAAGAATCAGCTGATAACAAGAGGCCTGACAGTGTGCACTGGGTCTGGCTGGGGTTGGGGATTTGCAGGTCCACCCAGCAGCCTTTCTTCCAGACACCCCCGCAGGAGACATGGAACAGAGAAACTCAGGCATGTCCCAACTTCCTCCTTCTGGCTCTGCACAGGGACCACCAGGGCAAGTGAGGGAGGTGGAAGGGGGAGAACACAGGCCATGGTTGGGGGTGGCTGTCGGGCTCTGGGTGTCATGGTGGCCCTTTCCCAGAGCCAGTCCTGGCCCAGCTGGGGTTAGTCCCTGCATCCTTGATTGGGGCAAAAACTGGTTCTTGGAGGAGAGAAAACATTTTAGATACTACAATGGTTTGTGGCACTCTAAAGCTCAACCCTACCTGACAAATCTTATTCCTTAGCATTTAATTTCTACCATTAGAAATAAATGAAATGAAATATTCATTTAATAAAGTTAGTGTAAATCAGATACAATTTTTTCTCCTGGGAGGAGAGGGGCATAATGCAAAAGAGGTTGAGCAATATCAGAGCAGTCTGTCTTCAGACCCTCTCAATGTCCCTCCTGGGTCCCTCTTGCTGCCTCATCCTGTATCCTTCCTTCTCCTTGGGCTTTGGGAGGCATTTGGCGGTGCTGACCAATCCAGTTCAGTTCAGAGGCCACCCTGCCCCGGGCACATCTTGCCCTGACCCTCCCTTGGCTCCCGTGACTCTGCCATGCGGTTCCCGTCCAGCCTGCGGCTCTCCGATTCCTTCCGCTGCCCCAACACTCGGAGCTCCCTTTGTGCCCCCTGCTTCCTCCATGGTCCCCATTCTGCAGCCCAGCCCCAAACTCTGCCAAGTCTCTCTTCTTCAGCAGCTCACTGGCCCCCTCCATCTGGATTCTTCCTGCCACTCAGACTCGGTGTGGCTGGCACACACCTCCTTCCTCCAGGAAGCCCTCCCTGTTTACCCAGGCTGGCACTTTCCCTTCTACAGCATTTGGCTGGAACCATTTGACATTAAAGAATACAATCAACCTTCGAACAACACGGGTTTGAACTGCATAGATCTACTTATATACTTTTCGACCAAATAGGGGAATATAGAACCCATGTATATGGAGGGCTCTTTGTATACACATTTCCACAGGGCAGACTTCGGGATACGAGTATGTGCAGGTTTTGGTATCAGTAGGGGTCACTGGAACCAGTCCCCTGCATATACCACAGGGGAGAAAACTGTTTATGTCCTTTTATTATTGTCTCATGGACTCATGGATGACTGTTCTGTCTTCCCACTTGGATTTTACTTTCTTTGAGGATAAAGACAAAGTCATAAGGTTCTGTTTACTCCTTAGTGTCCAACACTGCTCTGGACACCAAGGAAGGCAGGCGGTGGGTCTCCGTAGACCAGGAAGCTCTCTGGCAGAGCTCAGGGTACAAGGTGGGCTCCCCACCAGGAGGGCTGGCCAGCCTGGGCCGGGGCAGACTGCCCTGGGAAGCCTCCCTGGCCCCTCCCGGGGCTCCGCCTCACCCCCTTCTGGGGCTCCGCCTCACCTGGCCGACTCCTTCCACTCCATCTGGTCCCCGTCGTGCTGCAGAGTGTCCATCTCTGTGAAGAGGGTGGGGTTGGGAGCCTCATCTTCCTCCCCCAGGATGTCCTGGAGCTGCTCAGCAGCTGGAGACCCTGCAAAAGGAGGGCCCAGGGTCTGCCAGTGCCCCACGGAAGGCAGGAGGGCCACCGCAAGGCCAACAGAAATGGGGCGGGAGCAAGTGCAAGGGAAAAGTGTTTCCTAACTCAGTAAAGTGAAGTCCAGCTCCTGGGCGAAGTATTCACAGCACTCAGATTGGAGAGGGAGAGATATTCTTTGAGATAAAAAAAAAAAAAAAATGAACGGATTTGGTCTGCACTCAGTCAGGCTCCAGGGCCTTATAGCTGGCAGTGAAGAAGGACGGGAAGTGGCCAAGCCAGGGCAGCAGCAAGACCCAGGAGCAGAATAGAGAAGTGAAGTAAGAAACTCTCTGGCCAACCTCAGCATAACTGGCCCAGAGGGATACTTTTTCCCGCTGGGCCCCAAACTAACCAACTCCCAACACTGGCGTTGGCCCAGTGTGCCACATGCACCCACCTTCTTCCTGGGCATGGTGGCAGTCTGTTTCCTGAGCTCCCAGCCTGCTTTCCAACTGTCCACTGGAAGTCACCTCCTGGGTGTCTGCCAGGCACCTCAAAACTCAGCATCCTAGCCCTGAACACATACCCTTCTCCAAACGTGCTTCTCCTGTGTTCATTCATTCTTTCTTTCACTCAATATTTAATGCATGCCTACTATGTGCCAAGCACTGTTCTAGGTATTGGAAAACAAAGCTGTGAGGAAGACCTACATGTCGTTGCTCTCTTGAGCGTATGCCCTAGTGACAGAGACAGACAATAAGCAAGTAAACAAATCCATAAACCACCATTTCGGGTAATGTTCCATGCTCTGAAATAAGCAAAAGGACCAGTAGATAGATAGCATGATCACCAAAGGCCTCTCTGAAGAGGGGCAGTCTCATCCTGAGATGAGAATGAGCCACTTCTGCGTGTCTGGAAGAAGAGTGCTCTGAGTGCCCCAGACACCCTGGGTGTGGACGTGCTGGTCAGTGTGTCTGGAGCATGGAGGGCAAGGGGCAGAGAAGGATGACGTGATGTCAAGTGGTGACCAATGCCGTGGCTAATGGTGGTCAGGCATCCTGGAGCCATCCTTACCTCCCCTCCATATTGGAAGTTTTCAAGAGCACGTTGCCTCCTCCCAGCCTCATTGCTCTGCCTGGTCCAGTCTCTTATCCACCATCTCCTGGACCTCATCAAGGCTTCCCCTTCCTCCAGCCTCTGTTTCCTCAATTTGTCATTCTCTCTGTCCTAACTAATTGCTCTAGGACCCTCAGTGGTCAAGAATTTCAACTGCTCTTTCTTTCATCACACCCTCCAGTCTCTTTACCCCGGACGTCCCAGTGAGACCTGCCAGGCAATGCTGGACAAGAATCCCGTCTTCCCTGCAGTGTGTCCGAGGGAGGCAGTGTGGGACAGCGGGGTGGTGGGATCAGAGTGCACAAGGGATTCCAGCGCAGCCAGACATGGGTGTGCGCCTCAGGGCAGCCACTTCTTCATGAGTGAATCAGTCTGAGTGAACAGGGCTGTTGGGAGGAGCAAGGCAGGTAGGGAGAGTAAAACACCTGACACAGAGCTTGGAATGCAATGGCGCTTAATGCCCCTCACCACCAAGCCCTGCACCCAGGCCGGGAGCCCAGCCATGGAAGGCCACCCAGCTGTGCAAGTAGAGGGTTTCTCCTCTCAGCCTTCTGCTCATCCTCATCCCCGCCCTTCCCCACGTCCCTTGAAGCCATTCCCAACTTTTGTTCCTCTCTTTAATCTTCTTGAGCCACTTCACCAAGAAAATAAAGGCCTCCCGGCATGAAATCCATCAACATCCTCTAATCTAGTGCTTAGGTGTCTTCACCCCTGTTGCCGCCCATCTTTTAACAAAAGGAGTCCCTTCTCCAGCCCAGGCCCTGGTCCTATCCATGCCCTTCTGCCTCCTTCCAACCCTTATTTCACCAGCTTCCTTTTCCTTGCCTGGATACTCAACTTCCCTCTTCCACCCTCTCTCTCTCTCAGTGTTTCCAGCTCCCAAACACCCTCCCATGACCCTGCCCATCTCCCAAGCTCTCCTCTCCCTTTGTCCTTCCTTTGCCCACCTTCCTAACAGAGTGGTCTCCACTCTGCCTCCACTCCCTCCTTGCCCGATTACTTCCCAACCCCCTGCAACTCGTTCAGCCCCACCACGCTAAGGACATTGACTAAGGCAGAGATTTCAAACTGGCAGCTCAAAGAGGAGTTTAATGCAGCCCTCACAGAGTATAAAAGTTTTTGAAATTATTGCTAAGATAAAGAATTGTGATATTTCTTATAAAAATCCAGATGTCTAACTTTTTGTGAAAATTCTGACACTCTGGTCACTGGGCCCACATCCCTGCTTGGTGACAATCACCTAGAGCCAATGGGGTGCCTTTTTAGGTAAGCACATGCTTTGTAGGTTGCCACCGCCCCCACCACTTCTACTATCACCCTGCTACTCTCGTCTATTGCTATGCATCCGAGTCCACAGCCCTGCCTTCAGATCTCTCTTGTTACCTTAACGTCAAGCCAATAAGCTAACAAAATCAACCAAACCAACAGCACTGTGAAGCACTATGGTCTGGCTTATCTCTCTGGGTTATCAATGGTGCCAGAGTTCAGAACTGAAATGTTACTCTTGGCTCTCACAACATGGCACTTCCTTGACGTTTTTCCTACCTCTTTGACGATTCCCTCTCTATAACCCTCCCTAGCTCCTCTTGCCTGGCTAACACCTAAGTCCTGATCCACCCTAGGGTTCCTCCTTGGTCATCTTCTCTCCTCTCTTTCCACTCTCTTCCTGAGCGAGCCCGTGTTCTTTGTGTCCTGCAGTGAGGTCACCCTCGTGTCCAGGCAATCCGCCCACAAGTACTGGGCATTCCATGCCTGCCAACGGGACTGCTCCATCTGGGAGTTCTGCAGCCTTCTGAAGTCAACCTCAACACAGTCAAAAACAGCACCCCTGCTCTCCCCTGTTTTGCACCGTCGTAGCACCCCTAGCTACCCAGCCTTCCAGACAAGAAACACTCGATTCGCTCCTGTAGCTCCTCTCTCACGATCTGTGTCCAGCTGGCCGCTACACCCTTCATTCGCTCCCGACACGTTGTTTAGTTAGCCTCTCCCTGCATCCCACCGGTCGCCGCCACCCCGGTTCATGCTTCCCTCTCCCGCTCCTCCCACTGCAGCAGCCGCCCACTGCCGCCCCATCCGTCCCCACTCCCCAGCAGCAGCAGAACTTGCTTTTAAAGCACTTCACACCTGTGGACTCCTGCGAGTCATGGTGCTCTTTGGACAGCACCATAAAACCCACTGTGCACGTGGGTTACAAACAATTTTACTGGCAGGAAATACTATTAATTTAAGTGTAGCTCAATGGACCTCTTTTATTTAAATGGATTGTATTTCCTAATTTTTCTATTACTTTTAACTTATATCCTTTTCATTGGCTTATTGGTTGCTGACACTTGCTTGCAGACACTGAATGTTTAAGGAAATTTTGTAGAAGAAAAACCAACAAAATTGAGAAAATAATCTTATTTTTTCTTTAAATTGAGAAGGCTATGACTGCTTGATTCTGAGGGGCCACATCAATCCCCTGTGGGATCAGAGCTCAAGAACTACTCTTTTAAAATGCAGATTTGCCAGCCTGGGCAACAGAGCAAGGCCTTCATCTGTTCAGAATATTTTAAAAATTAGCCAGGTATGGCGGTGCGTGCCTATAGTCCTAGCTATTCACTTAGGAGTCTGAGGCAGAAGGATCTCTTGAGCCCATGAGTTAGAGGCTGCAGTGAGCTGTGATCTGGCCACTGCACTCCAGCCTGGGTGACAGAGCAAGACCCTGTCTCTAAAAATAAATAAAATAAAATAAAATGCAAATCTGATTTTGTTACTCTCCTGGTGAAAAACTTTCAATGGCTCTCTATTGTCTAAAGTCTAGGGTCAGTGACATGGCTCAAAACATCCCTTGTGACCTGCCCTCAACCCGGTGTCCTGGGTTCTGGCATGTCCCTCACCAGCCGCCCACCCCACAAGGCAGACCACATGCAGTTCTCTGATGAGGAGGGCATGCCACTCCTTGGGCCCTGTGCCTACCATTCCATAGGTTTGAATCCCCTTCCCCTCCAAGGCCAGGTAAGAAGGCAAATGGAGTAACGGTGGCGAGAGGAGACAGGGCAGAGAGCAGGGGCCTGGACCAGCCCTGTAGGGCATTACCTGCTCCCTGGAATAGCTGAGCGCTGGGGTCCCCGGCTGTTGGCGCTGCCTCTGGCCCCAGCCTGCTTCTGCTGCTGCCGTCCTGGCCGCTGCTGCCACAAGTCCTCTTCCAACACAACAAACTCACTTTTGTTTCCAGTTAAGCACCAGGGGAGGTGCGGGGAGAGGAGAAGGGGTGGGGGAGAGGAGAGAAGGAATGTGTGACAGACTGGGGCGGTGGAGAGGGAAAGCTGTGTGTAGAGGGAATGGAGATGTGGTGTGAGAGAGACTGTGCAAAATTGTGTGAGTGAGAGAGAAAACCATAGTGAGAGTGAGTTAAAGATACTGTGCTTGTGAGGGCGGGGGTTAGAGAGGGGAGAGAGAGAAGTCAGGTGCCCTGGAGAGAGAAGGGTGGTGGCTCAAGCAGGCAGCAGGGTCTCCATAGCAGCAGGGACAGTGGCAGCTGAGGACCTGTGAGAGGACTGGCTAAACTGCCCCTTTACCCACTCCTGCCCGGGGTCCTCGGCTGTTAGCCTCAAGCCCCGTTATAAAGGCAGAGGTAGGATTTGCCTTGAGACTCCCTGGGGTCTCCTTTGAGACTTGGCAGCAGGTGGGCTGGCTGGAAAGTGGCCTGGCAGGGGCCATGTCCTTTCGGCCACACAGCCCCGCTGGGGTGGAGGTGGGGTTGTTGGAGGGGGGTGTTGGCTGTGGGGTCTCACATTTCACAGCAAGCAATGCCTGGTCAGTAATGTGCCATGTAGCTGGTATCCCTCCTTCCCTGAGTTTAAACACAAACTCCTGATCCTCTTCCTGCTCATCCACCTCTAAGAAAAATGCCAAGT